AAACCGTTGTGGTATAATATTGGATTGGGCTCGATTCCTGCATGGGCCTTCAATGAGCTGCATAAAGGGAGTGTTTTGAAGCACAGGGCAATCGCACAAGCGGTGATATGTTATCGAAAACCATGTCTCGACAACGCGACGTTGCAGTGGTCAGGCTCATAATGTGCAAGACATGGTGAATCCGTTGTGGTGTGGTATTGGATTGGCCCCCATTCTTGCATAGGCCTTCAACATGGTGCATAAAGGGACTAGTATGAAGCACAGGGCAATCTCGCAAGCGGGTATATGTTATCGACAACCATGTCTCAACAGGGCGATGTTGCAGTGACCACGTGTTTGGTTTGCAACCAGCGATGAAACAATTATGGTATGGAGTTGGATTGGTCTCAAATCTTGAGAGGACCTTCAACGAGCTGCATAAAGAGAGTGGTATGAAGCACAGGGCAATCGTAGAAGCAGTGATGTGTTACCAACAACCATGTATCGACAGGGCGACGTTGCAGCGATGAGGCCGATGGCTTGCAAGACATGGTGAAACCCTTGTGGCATGGTACTGGATTGGCCTCCATTCTTGCATGGGCCTTCTACATGGTGCACAAAGGGAGTTCTATGTAGCACAGGGCAATCGCACAAACGGGTATATGTTATCGACAACCATGTCTCGACAAGGCGATGTTGCTGTTATGTGAAGCTATCATTCGCATTCACGTCTGTCTACCTCCCATCCAATCTTTCTACCTTGCATGCGTGGTATGCGCGTACGTAAGAGTTTGTATTTGGTGTGATTTGGACTTCGTGGATGTGTGTTCATTTTATTCTGCTTAAGCAGATATCTGAAATGACTCCTCTGCTCAAGTGCTTTCCGACGAAGGAGGACTCGTCGCGATCGGAGCAAGAACGAGAAAGATACGATCGTTCGAGGTTTTGATTGTGATGTGGCGACTGTGGGAATTTGCGGAGTGACTCATTATGGGGTATAGACTTTTGGGGGTCGGGAAGTTCGCCACTCCTACTGTAGTTGATGCCAAGTGGTCGGAAGAAGCCAAACCAGGTTGGCAAGTGCGGCCAATTGGGGTGAGGTAGATGGCATGGGTTGGGAAATGGACAAAGGCCAAAGTTGGGTTCCTATAAAGATGGAATCTTTTGTGCTTATGGGGTTTCCTTGGTTGGGGACTCTCTTGGGACCTTCCCTCTCGTCCTCCTCATCCCCTCCTACCTGGTTTATTGCTACTTCCAATCTCTTGTGTGGCTCTTGGGAGAACAATTGTGATTCATATAATTTTCTGTGGCAGCATAACTCCAAGTGCGCTGAAATTGATGACTCGAGTTTTACTCCAACTTTTGATACGATTTAAATTGGGAAAGATAGCCACGGTCAAGGGCTACAATATTGTAACGGTTATATTTTCGTCGACGACGTTTCTTGTGAAGTCGACAATTCTGTCCAGAATTCTAGTCCAACGATTTTTAGATATTTCGGCCCTCTAAGCTTCCTAGACTCGGTCCTTAATCTCTAACAGTTGCAGCAACCAGGTGTTTGGTTTGCAACCAACGATGAAACCGTTGTGGTATGGGATTGGTCTCAAATCTTGAGGGGACCTTCAACATGGTGTTTAAAGAGAGTGGTATGAAGCACAGGGCAATCGCACAAGCGGTCATATGCTTTCGACAATCATGTATCGACACGGCGACGTTGTAGCGATCAAGGGTTTGGTACGCAACCGACGGTGAAACTGTTGAGGAATGGTATTGGATTGGGCTCAATTCTTGCATGGACATTCAGCACGGCGCATTAAGGTCTAACAACTCTCGAGAGAAGCGATGATATATTGTTGAGTTGATGAACATATTCGGTTTCACGCAACACTCTTAAGAGAAGGTACAAGTTTTTTGGGTACTTCTCAGATGATTCCTGACCACACTGGAGAAGTGGGAGAGTTTACTAACATTTCCGTTGTCAATAAGGGGTTGGTTATGAGCAGGCCCTAAAAGATGGTGGTAAACTAATTTAGGAAGAAATGAGTTCTCATGTCAGATATAACTGTATATAGTCAATACGTGCTTTGGATTAAGGCTCTGGAGGTGCGCACCATTTTGGGCTCACCTACGTGATTGTGTTTTACCCCCTATAGCCACTCTCGAATCGTAGCACCAAACAGATCTCTTCCCTCTCCTCCTTGGCCTCTCGACTCTCACGCACGATTCAAAAATCCAAGTTTTGAATCATTAGGCGCATACTTCTCACCATGCTCGCGACACACACTCTCACCAAGCTTGCATACTCCAGTACATAAGGCCATGCTTACATCGTGGTCGCACTAAAAGGGGGTGACGCGCCTTGTAGGAAAGGGAGGTGTCGTGCTATGGGTGGTCTAAATCGTGCCTCGTCACAGCTGCGCTGCTCGCCATCGTTAGCCAGTCAATAACACTCGTGCTACGCTCAATTGCCAGCCGTGCTAAGCTCCAAGCCGCCATGGACAGTTAGCGCTTTCGCGATTACCGTGCTGGAGATCTGGCCTTCATTAACCGTGTCCTTAATGCATTCAGGCACTTCAAACAGGCTAGTTGCGTCATACTCCAGTTCTCCTCTCTTAGAGGGATCGTGAATACATGGGCTCTTTGCCAGGCATTGTCTGCGAGTTGTGCAACAAATGGTTCCCTAACGCGCAAGTATATGGTGGCCATAAGTCACGGCAGACCCCTTGTCAAGAGCTTTCCGCCGTGGCAAGGCCCTTGCGATCTACGCCGTCTGCCAGTCTACACGCACTTCTCTTTGTCCACAACATTCTTTATGATGCTCCCGCTGCTCCCGCTTCGCCTACCGCGTCTAACGCATCCAACAATATCAGTATGAGTGGTCCTCTTCGCATGCCTGAAGCTGACGAAGATGAAACACCCTCCGCTGTGAACGACGGGGCTCCTGAAGATGAACATCAACCGTCGCCATAAACACTTGCAGGCGACACGAATGAACATCCTGAGATCCAGCCGGGAGGGAGTCATGTCGCGACGCCGACAATCATCTCTGAACAGCGCGATGCCACGTCCCTCAATCCGTTCGCGTTGAAGCTGCTGCATTTCGACTGGGGAAATTTCTGAGTCAGACGGAAAAATATATGTTATCTGTAGACTCAGACGAAATGTAAAATGTTGTATGTAAAATTATTTGAATTTGAAATGCTTGTCATTTGGTTCAGATTAAATCAGAACCCTGGTCTACGGATTCAGACGAACCATACAAAATGAGTCTTAAAACCAGACAATCACACAAATAAAATATGATAACGACGACCCTCGCTGGCTAGCTGGCTGGCTGAATGACTTGGTTGGCTGGCTAAACAGCTGGCTGGCTGGCTGGATAGCTAAACGGTTGGCTGTCTGCTGGATTGGACGACTGCCTGGCGGGTTGGACGGCTGACTGGCTGGTTGGACGGCTGGCTGGCTAGCAGGACGGGTAGTTGGCTGGCTGGACGGTAGTCTAAGACATAGGTGGCCTAGGGCTAACCATATGATACCATCTTAGGATAGTACGTAGCGGAATGATGTATGATTTAGGCAGCATGAGATAGAAGTAGGAACCCTAGTATGTTGTACCCTCTACAATGTGCTTCATTGTAGCCTAAAAACCCAATACGGTTGTAAACATAGTTAGAAAATTGAGAAGTGAAGGCGTGCGCGGTCTGGAAATGGTCGCGGCCTTGAATACAAATTGTTACGAGTGCAATTGGGTGAGCGAAGAAAGATTGCACTATTGAGGCAAACAATCCAATAAGCAAAGGCATGAGCAGAGACATGAGCATTACCAGTAACGCTCGCAATGCCCCTCGGGCCTAATGCCGAGGTTGGGAAGTGTTGAAGCGTAGGGTTGGGTTCTGGGTTACCAGCCGAGCCGGGCGTGGCTGCAGGCACTGCTGACGCTGTGGAGCAAAGTGTCTCCGAACGAGACTCGCATGGATATCAGTGATGACTACCTCACCGACGCTGCTCTCTCTCAACTCGCCTCCTTTCGTTCTCTCACGTCGCTCGACCTTTCTGGATCCTCCGGCTTCACTGCAGAGGGGGTGACACAGTTCTTCTGCCTCACAGGTCTCACATTCCTGAATCTGGCACAGACAAATGCAACGGACGCTTCTCTTGAAGGTATCAGCAGCCTGAAACATCTCAACACACTCTATCTTAGTATGACCAAACCGATGCTGGAATCGCGAAGCTGCGGGGGTTGACTGCACTAGTGTCTCTGGCCTTGAATGACTGCGAGTCGGTCACCTCTGCGAGCATGGTGCACGTGGGAAAACTGACATCACTGGAGTTCCTCTGGCTGAGTGGCAGTGGAGTGAGGGAGGATGGGCTGAAGCAGCTGACGACTCTCACCTCCCTGAAAATTTTCAGCTTGCCTTCAGGTGTGACCGATTCCAGCATGAAGCATCTGAGGAACCTGACACGCCTGGAGAAGCTGGAGCTGTGGAATGCTCGAATCACTGCTGCCGGTGTCAAGTGGCTGAACGGGCTTAATAGCCTCAAGGTGATTGGGACAGAAGCTGAAGATGTTGAAGGGCTGATTAGGGACGGCCTTCCTGGAATGATAGTCACAGATAGTACAATCCTGGAATGGTCACAGATAGCGCAATCCTGGAATGATAGTCACAGATAGCGCAATCCTGGAATGATAGTCACAGATAGCACAATCTGATTTTCCTCATCCCCAATGCCCAGTGTTTGCTACCATATCTGTGTTGTTGGTGAAATAGAAATGTGGCATGCTAATGGAGCTGTATCCATTCCCCCCATGCAATTTACGGTACAAATTTCACACCACAGTGCACTGAGACTAATGAGGTCCTGCCTCATTTACTTGCTGTCTTCGTAATCTGAACATTGGGGGCACTTGCGCCAATGTTGATAACAATTATGAGCATGCTTTGGGGCTCTTCTCAGCCCAACACCCCCCACCCTTCCATCCCCAGCCCAGCCACCTCCCCTAAGCTAAGCTAAACCACACATCAGAGCACGTCATCCTCCACGGCCCCACCCTCGAGGACGGCAGCAGCGGCGATGGCGTCTGCCTCGGCGGTGGAGATGGCGTTGGCAGCAGTGGAGGCGCGCAGCAGCGCCAGCACAAAGCCCTGCAGCTCCGCCAGCTCTGCCAGCGCATGCGCCTCCGCCCCCACCACCTGCGCCAGCATGTGGAACTGGGGGGGAGAAAAGAAAGGGAAGCGGGTGGGGAGATTGATAGAAATGAAAAGAAATGCGCCTCCGCCCCCACCACCTGCGCCACCATGAGGAACTGGGGGGTGGAGGGGGGGGAGGAGAGGAGAGGGTGGGGTGTTGGTGGGGGTTGATATATTCGGTGGTGGGGAGTCAAGAGTGAAGCAGAAAAAGAGGGGAGAGGAGAAAGGGGTTGAAAGGAGGGAAGCATGGGGGTCTTGCAGAGTAATAGGGAGATTGGCACGAGTGTGGAGGAGCCAGAAAACAAGAACAGGCGGGCACTGCAGCAGCAGGCGGGAACTACGTCCTTCACCACATACCCCCTGCTGCAGCTTGGGCGTGGCAGCGACGTGCTGTACCGCTGATGTCATACCAACCTGCTCGAATGGTGGGGGAGGGGGTTGCACGAGGGTGTTGGGGGGTAATGCGGGTGCAGGCGGGAAGGGAAGAGTGGTGAGCCTAGAGATGGACACAAAGGGGACGGGATGAAGAGGATAAATTTAGGAAGGAAAGATACACCAAGCAGGGTGTGGAGCGTAGGTAAGGGAGAGGAAGGGTGGTGAGGTGTGACTGTGACGGGGGCCTTGAGGGTTACTGCAGGGGTGTATACGTGGTGGTGTGACTGTGTAGGAGAATGCAGAGAGGTGGAGTGACGTGGGATGCAATGGCAGAGGGAGCCTTGGGAAGCACATAACGAGAATGGATAGAGCGGCACTGAAAGGCGATGCAAGCAGGGAGGTGCGATGCACGCAGGGAGGTGCGATGCAAGCAGGGAGGTGCGATGCAAGCAGGGAGGTGCGATGCAAGCAGGGAGGTGCGATGCACGCAGGGAGGTGCGATGCACGCAGGGAGGTGCGATGCACGCAGGGAGGTGCGATGCACGCAGGGAGGTGCGTTGCACGCAGGGAGGTGCGATGCACGCAGGGAGGTGCGTTGCACGCAGGGAGGTGCGATGCACGCAGGGAGGTGCGTTGCACACAGGGAGGTGCGATGCACGCAGGGAGGTGCGATGCACGCAGGGAGGTGCGTTGCACGCAGGGAGGTGCGTTGCACGCAGGGAGGTGCGTTGCACGCAGGGAGGTGCGTTGCACGCAGGGAGGTGCGATGCACGCAGGGAGGTGCGTTGCACGCAGGGAGGTGCGTTGCACGCAGGGAGGTGCGTTGCACGCAGGGAGGTGCGTTGCACGCAGGGAGGTGCGATGCACGCAGGGAGGTGCGTTGCACGCAGGGAGGTGCGTTGCACGCAGGGAGGTGCGTTGCACGCAGGGAGGTGCGTTGCACGCAGGGAGGTGCGTTGCACGCAGGGAGGTGCGTTGCACGCAGGGAGGTGCGTTGCACGCAGGGAGGTGCGTTGCACGCAGGGAGGTGCGTTGCACGCAGGGAGGTGCGATGCACGCAGGGAGGTGCGATGCACGCAGGGAGGTGCGTTGCACGCAGGGAGGTGCGATGCACGCAGGGAGGTGCGTTGCACGCAGGGAGGTGCGTTGCACGCAGGGAGGTGCGTTGCACGCAGGGAGGTGCGTTGCACGCAGGGAGGTGCGTTGCACGCAGGGAGGTGCGTTGCACGCAGGGAGGTGCGTTGCACGCAGGGAGGTGCGTTGCACGCAGGGAGGTGCGTTGCACGCAGGGAGGTGCGTTGCACGCAGGGAGGTGCGTTGCACGCAGGGAGGTGCGTTGCACGCAGGGAGGTGCGTTGCACGCAGGGAGGTGCGTTGCACGCAGGGAGGTGCGTTGCACGCAGGGAGGTGCGTTGCACGCAGGGAGGTGCGTTGCACGCAGGGAGGTGCGTTGCACGCAGGGAGGTGCGTTGCACGCAGGGAGGTGCGTTGCACGCAGGGAGGTGCGTTGCACGCAGGGAGGTGCGTTGCACGCAGGGAGGTGCGTTGCACGCAGGGAGGTGCGTTGCACGCAGGGAGGTGCGTTGCACGCAGGGAGGTGCGTTGCACGCAGGGAGGTGCGTTGCACGCAGGGAGGTGCGTTGCACGCAGGGAGGTGCGTTGCACGCAGGGAGGTGCGTTGCACGCAGGGAGGTGCGTTGCACGCAGGGAGGTGCGTTGCACGCAGGGAGGTGCGTTGCACGCAGGGAGGTGCGTTGCACGCAGGGAGGTGCGTTGCACGCAGGGAGGTGCGTTGCACGCAGGGAGGTGCGTTGCACGCAGGGAGGTGCGTTGCACGCAGGGAGGTGCGTTGCACGCAGGGAGGTGCGTTGCACGCAGGGAGGTGCGTTGCACGCAGGGAGGTGCGTTGCACGCAGGGAGGTGCGTTGCACGCAGGGAGGTGCGTTGCACGCAGGGAGGTGCGTTGCACGCAGGGAGGTGCGTTGCACGCAGGGAGGTGCGTTGCACGCAGGGAGGTGCGTTGCACGCAGGGAGGTGCGTTGCACGCAGGGAGGTGCGTTGCACGCAGGGAGGTGCGTTGCACGCAGGGAGGTGCGTTGCACGCAGGGAGGTGCGTTGCACGCAGGGAGGTGCGTTGCACGCAGGGAGGTGCGTTGCACGCAGGGAGGTGCGTTGCACGCAGGGAGGTGCGTTGCACGCAGGGAGGTGCGTTGCACGCAGGGAGGTGCGTTGCACGCAGGGAGGTGCGTTGCACGCAGGGAGGTGCGTTGCACGCAGGGAGGTGCGTTGCACGCAGGGAGGTGCGTTGCACGCAGGGAGGTGCGTTGCACGCAGGGAGGTGCGTTGCACGCAGGGAGGTGCGTTGCACGCAGGGAGGTGCGTTGCACGCAGGGAGGTGCGTTGCACGCAGGGAGGTGCATTGCACGCAGGGAGGTGCGTTGCACGCAGGGAGGTGCGTTGCACGCAGGGAGGTGCGTTGCACGCAGAGGGGGTTTACTTTCGGCAGAACTGCAGGAAGCGGCTGAGCGACTTGACAGGCAGCACGGCAATGGCATTGGCCAGCACGTTGCGCGCTACCATCTCCTCCACCACCGCCACCAGCAACTGAGTGGGGGGGCGAGGAGAATGGGAGAAGAGGGAGAGGACGGGTGGGTGGGGGTTGGAGCTATCGTCTCCTCCACCACCACTACGCTACCAGCATCTGCAGGGGGGCCGAGGGGCGAGGGAAGGGGGAAAGCAAGCTATTCACGAAGGGAGATGCGGGGAGATGGCACAGCATCTCCTTGCTAGTAGCGAGGAGCACTGATATCGAAAGGGGGAGCAGGGCGCGAGAGGAGAGAAAGGAAGCAAGGGAAAGTGGGAAACAACAACAAGGAGAGATCAAAGGAGGGGGAAACAGAACGAGGAGAACGACAAGGGAGAGGTATAAAAGGTGAAAGGCAATAAGACAAGTGTACTGCATGGTGGTTCAGGGGACAGCCGGCGAGCAGGCACACATGTGCACCCAGCCTCCGCAAACCCCCTTGTTCCCCTTCGTGCCCTCCCCCCTTCCCCCCCCATACCCCTTTTCTCCTCTCTCGCCCGTCCCCATGCACATGTGTGGCTCCAGCAACGCATGCATGACCTCTAGTTTCTCCAGCAACGCATGCATGACCTCTAGTTTCTCCAGCAACGCATGCATGACCTCTAGTTTCTCCAGCAACGCATGCATGACCTCTAGTTTCTCCAGCAACGCATGCATGACCTCTAGTTTCTCCAGCAACGCGTCCTGCATGGCGGCTCTGCGAGCAGCAGATGACCGGAAAGACATAAATGCACCCACCACACTAACCCACCCTCCCCTCCCCTCCCCTCCCCTCCCCCCCTCTCCTCTCCCCCTTCACCCCAAATCCCCCCTCCCCCATGTGCGACCAACCTCGGATTTCTCCAGGAAGCGTCCTGCATGGCGGCTGGGAGGGCAGCGTAGTGCTGGAAGCGCCGCAGCTTGTTGTCGTGCACCGCCCACCAGGGGCTCTCACGCGCCGCCACGGCTACGGAGAGCATGAGAGCAAACTATACGGGGCGCTGCCGCATGATGACCAGGTCTTTCTGTGCCGCTGCTGCCATGCTGCCATGCAAGGCACCATACTCTGTTGTCATTGCCACACACACTTGCCTCCCTTCACTCTCCTGCCATCAGGAGACGCACGTGCTTGTGCTTTGCCCATAGGTAGTCCTCCGCCTGGGGTACATGCACGTGGCAAAAAGAGTGGTTGCAGGCATGAAGATCGGAAAGGGGTTGGGAGAGGGGAGTGGGATGCGGTGCTGCGTGCCGTGGGTGACACATGCACGCCCTTGCGCTGTGCCACTCAGTAATTTTCAGCCTGACCCACATCCCCACGTGTGGCGTGATGTAGAGTGGGAAGGAAGCGGACGGGACAGGGGGGTGATGGGTGGAACACATGCGGAACAAGAGAGCGAGGATTGGGTGATTGAACTGTGCACAGTCAAGAGAAAGGTGCCAAGAGTAGCTGTGCTGGAGAGAGTATTGGCAGCGAGGGGAGGGGAGGGAAGAGGAGGTGAAGGATGAAGTGGAGAGAGAGGGCCAGTAAAAAGCGAAGATGGTGTGAGGCTTGCGGGAAGAGCAGTGAGTGGTGTGGCAGGAGGTGTATGAATTATGAGAAGGTACGGTAGATGGTAGGACTAAACAGCTGCACGTTACGAGTGGAGAGACGACGGGCGGTCCCAATGTGGTAGGCGTTACGAGTGGAGAGTGGAAGCAAGACGTAGATAGACGAGAGCATGCGACGTGCAGCAGGAGCAGGAGCAGGAGCGGGAGCGAGAGCGGGAGCGGGAGCGGGAGCGGGAGCGGGAGCGGGAGCGGGAGCGGGAGCAGGAGCACTGGGGAGAGAGCCATCCGCAGCAGCGCGGACCTGAGAGCTGACGTGTCACCAGTGCAGAGCGCTGTCAAACGCAAAGTGCACCGCCCTCACTCCTCTGCAGCACACCACCACCACCCCGGGTGGAGGGGGAGAGGGGTGAAGTGAGAGACGGAGGGAAGAGGAGGCGGGGGAGGGGGGAGAGGTCCAAGAAAAGGGGAGGTGGGAGGAGGAGAGAAGTAAGGGCGAGGACCGGTCTAGTGAGCGTGTGCAAGGACGAGGTGGTGGGGAATGGGCAAGTTGATGGGGAAGAGGATGGGGAAGAGGATGGGGAAGAGGATGGGCCTGGTCACAGCAGAGCGGAGAGAAGGAATGCTGAGGGGTGTAACGAATTATTGTTGTTGCGAATGGAAGGCAGGGAAGAAGGGCAAACCAGGACAAACAGGTCGGAAATGGGAGAGAACGAGAGGCAAGGGGGAGGGCTGGGCAGCTGGAAGCGATATGTGCATGTCGGTGGGTGGGTGGGTGGGCGGGTGGGTGGGCTGGTTGGTGCATGTGCAAGTGAGCATGGGCGTGCAATGGAGCGTGCATGAGTACTCTGTGCGTACGCATTGAGGAGCCCAGGCCAATCCCCTCATTGATACAGAGAACCGTTTGAGGGCGCATTCAGAATAGTGAACCGTGAAGGAATGGGACAGCAGGTTGGAGTTAGCGGGGTGGAGACATTGTAGGGAGCTGAAGAGGCAGAGCCTGGCAGTCCCTTAATGGCACGCAGCGTGTGGTCGAGTTGGGAGTGGGGAAACACAGCAGAGTGGGCGAGGAATCATGCATGTCGCATTTGCACATTGAGTTGAAGAGGGGAGGAAGCAGTAGAGGCAGGGGAAGAAGCAGAAGAGGAGTGGGAGAGGCGAGCGGTGTGGGCAGTGACCAGTCGGCGAGGAACACTGAACTACATTCCAGCTGCCCCTTACTCAGGTGCACACGGAGCTCCAGCAGGAGGTGCGGAAACCAAGGGGAGGCACGGGTGCACGTGCAGCAATGCATGTGTGGGTAGGTGCAAGCAGAACCGAACATGCTCTCACACACTCAGACCCTCTCACCATACCCACCCATTGCCCCCCTCCTCCCAACCAATCGCCTTCTTCCCGTGCTTCCCTCTTTCCCCTCCCCCAAAGAGGCGCCCGCCTGACCTACATGATGCCCCTGCCTCTCCCCGCCCGCCATCAGCAGCTGGCGCCCTGAACCGCCCGCTGTATGCCTGCATGCCTGCCATGCACGCGGGGGGGACGAGGAGGGCGGAAGGAGGGGAGGGGAGGGGAGAAGGGGGGAGGGGAAGGGGAGGGAGGGAGAGGAGGGGAGGAAAGGGAGGGGAGGGGAGGGGAGGGGAGGGGAGGGGAAGGAGGGAAGGAAGGGGAGGGGAGGGGAGGGAGGGAGTGGGGCGAAAGGAGCGGTGGAGGGGTAAGAGAGGGCTCTCACAAGTCCTTCAAAGCGGGAGGCGGTTTTGAGTGGTTCACTGGCGGACAGGGAGAGCGGAACGGAGGCGGCAGCGGATGAATAGGGTGCGGAACTGGCGGGCTGGGAAGCCCGATACGGGGAAGAAAATGAGAAAGGAGGGATGGGGAGTGTGCGAGTTGCGGGGAAGGGCGTGGGGGATGGAAGGAGTGGAGGATGGGGAAGGGTTTTGGGGAAACTAAGAGAAGATTGCTGAGAGAGCGGAGCGAAGGGGGCGTGGAACGGAGAGCGGGGAGCGGGCAGGAGGGGGTGGGAGGCGCATGCGGGTGGAGTTGGTGGCCACCCTCGCAATGAGATTTGGAGAAATGCAATGAGAGGGGGGGTGGGAGGGGCGAGAGTGGCGCACGCTGGTGGAGATGGTAGCGGCGAAGTGGAAGGGCGCGGAGAGGCAGAAGTCGATGGTCGTCACGTTGCCGATCAGCGGCTCCGGCGCTTTCCTTCGGAAGCTGCGCCAAATCCCCGCTTCCGCCGTCTCCGCGTGCGCCGCCGGCGCATAGCGCTTGGGCGTGACTTCCGTTGCCCACCACCTGCTGGTCGCCCATTGGTCGCGGCCTATAGAACGGAGGTTTAGAAGGTGATATTTTTTCTACTTCTTCTTCTTTTTGTGAGCGAGTCACTGGACAATGACTGAGCAGCGGCGTGGCGCGCGCAGTGAGGCGCGTCGGGACGGGAAGTGACGAACGCGACCGAGGTAGGCAAGGTGAAAAGAGAAGGCTGGCAGCAGCTGAAGGCGGGCGGGATGGGCATACGGCGGAACCAACCCTTGGAAAATATAGCTCAAACAAATTGGGTGCCCGAACAAACTACCCATTAATGTAAGGATTTACAGAATCCTTACTGAGGCACTCTTTAGCGAGGTCAAATAGAGGATCACGCGACGAACCTGTTCTGCCTATTTCGTCGCACCGAACCACTCCCGAGACGCCTCCGCCCCAAACGCAACATCACCGAGCCATCCATTCCCGACCTCCCCGCCTAGCTAGCGTTTCCCCTACTTAGGCCTCGTCACTTTCATTGTCTCGTCAGTTTATTTGAGTTCATTCTCGTTATTCGTTTTACTGCGCACTCTGCAAGTTCATTCATAACAATTAAACTACAAACTTGTCATACCGTAAAACTTATCTTTATCCTATGAGGTTTGTGAAAGCACAAATCCTTACTAAATCAGGAGACAAAAATTACTATCTCGAGCACTAGTATTAACAAAGTCTTAGCTAGGTTTCGAATAATGCATTAAATTGTTTTTGTACCGGGTATCTCTAAATGAGAAACCAAATACGCGTGCACTTTCTATCATGTTCGACCGTCCCTTCATCCCCAACAAATGGTACATTCCTGTGTCGAGACAAATGTCTCGATGCCCTTTTTACCGAGTCACGTCTATACGGTACCGTATGGCCCCGGATATAAGCGCAGGCCTATTATAAGCGCATGCGCTTGTATCTGGAGCAATGCGCTTATGGCCGATCCTCATTTATAAGCGCACCCCCTGTAAAACCTTGATTTATTATAAGCGCATGTATAATTTCAAAATTTAAACCAGATTAAAACGGTAGCGATTTCAAATTTTGCAGTGAGGATACAACCATTTTCGCTTCGATTGACTTTCGAGGACCTCACATACTGCGCGTCCAGTCAGTATGAGCTGGCATTTCTGATAGTGACGTGTAAATATGCCCCTGTGCGCCGGCAGAAAATCGCTCACGCGCGAATCTGAATTGTGACTCGCTACCACTTCGATTCGATTGAAATCGCAAGAAGGAGATGTACAGTTTGGTGCTAATGAATTATAAATTTGTAATTGTCATTTTATAAGCGCATGCGCTTATAAATCTGACTCAATTATAAGCGCACCCTGAGAAATAACGAGGAATGAATTGACTAAGGGAAAGTTGGGTACAAAAGCAAACCCTAGAAAACTGTACCCCATATGTGCTACCCCACTATAGCCTACAGTAGCTATGTCATATAAATCTGACACACCCCCATAGGCAAAGTGGGGGAGAACAAGGGGTCACAAGACCAGTCAAGCAAAGCAAAGCAAGCTCAGGGTGGATCACAAAGTCACCACACATTCCGAGCACAAGTTCAAGGCCACAAGGCCAGTTCACATGCAGGATTGCATATATATATAAGGCTAGACAAGCAAGAGCAGGTGTATATATATATGCAACAGTACAAACAAGGTCAAGGGGTGAGCAAGTGAGGCAAGGTAGGCACAAGACCCAGCTGAGTACAGAAGCGCTGATGATCACAAGGCAGGAGTGCCTTGGTGAAGATATCAGCAGTGTTGGCCTCAGAGGCCACGTACGCAAGCCGCAGCTGACCACGCTGCTGTAGCTCACGAGCAAGGAAGTAGCGGAGAGCAATGTGCTTCGTTCTGTGCTCCAGTCTCTGCTCTCGA